ACCCAGGCCTCGAATAACTTTGGCGACTGCATGGCGCCAATTGACAGTGATGTGCAAGTGGCATGTGTCTTGGTGCATGTTGTGCATTGATCATTTTGTTATCTACTTAACCTATCCCAGTCCTCATCGTGCTTTGTCTTCTGGCCAGGCTGCATGCATTGTTGAGAGTTGGCCGACCGAGGCCTTTCGTCGCTGTGAGCACTGCATTGTGCCAACTCGCGCTGAGCTCTGAGTTGCATCTGTCTTCGGGCTTGTTGTGCATTGTGCATTGTGTTTCTAGTTCATGAGTTGTACTGTAGTCACTCCTAGTCGTAGTCTTTCCAATGCCAAGCAAGCCTTGTTGTGCATAGACTTGAGTCCCAGCTCTTGGGTCTTGGCCTCTGAGGCAGTATGCATGCCTGCCAAAAAGAATCAGTGTCTACATATATATATATATATATATATGTATATATATATATATATACATATATATATTGACATATATCTAGATGTGTATATATGTATATATATATATATATATATCGCACCCTCACAAGATTCTGGTGCAATTCCTCCTGGCAGACACTCTGTCTCAAGATGCATGCTCACGGCATAAGACTTAGCCTTGCTGCTTCTTGGTGACGTTGCACCTGTTCCGTGCTGCTGCCTTGTTAGCTAGTTTTCCCCCCCACGAAGTTGGGATGTTCATGGCATGTTGAAGCTAAACTCAGGTCTGGTCATCGGCTAGTCTACGTGGAATTGTAGCCATATGTTTTTCTGCCTCTCTCTCACTCACCTTGTCTGTTCTAGACTGCCCAGACAGAAATATATATGTACATATATGTATATGCAAATGCTACCATTAAGTCTACATTGGCTTCGGCATGTCGTTCTGTGCAGAACATCGGTGGATGGCCTGCCACCACAGTGCCTGGCTTCATTTACCTGCTTGCCCTCCCTCTCCTTCTCCCTCTGCTGCAATATCGGGATGCATTTGCCCCTGCTCTACAGAGTCCTAGGGTCCTAGAGGTCACTGCCAGCAGAGCAGCTGTGCCACCCAGTGCTTTGTGGAGCCAGCATCTCAGAAGTCACATGGACACGTGCCCCAGCAGAGTCGAGCAGACTGCACTGCCACGAGATATTTCCAGCTGCTTCCATCGTTCTTGCACAAAGCTTCCTCTGTCCCGCCATGCCTAACCCCACTGCTGCCCAATCTCCTGGTCTCCTCCTTGTGGACCCCAACCACCAACAGCTTCAACCCAAGCTAAACTTTGTTATTATGAACAGCCTGAACAATCCTGCCAAAAAACTTGTTTGTGTTGAAAGGTCCCAAGTCCTCAATTTCAACTCCTTCTGCTTTGCATGTTTTGCCAGGAGACCAGTATATTAGAAAACTGCATAAGTAATCTTTGTTACGTGCCAGCCCTGCAGGGTGCGAATCCCAATCCGAATAAAGATTGCTGCGTCCTGGGGGACACTGGGTTCGAGGTAGCAGAGAGCAGTGAAGTAGGAAAGCTTCCCACAGACTTTCCAGACCACCCCGTGGCTCGCCAGTGTCCATGAGGTTCTGCTGAAGAGATGCGGCATGCAGCCTACGGACCTCATGTGCAAGCACCACCTGCAGTTGATATAGATTTGGAGGGACGTAAGCATGAAGCTTTTGCAAATAGCTTGCGAAACAAGGTCCGACTTGCGTCTGTGCTTCCGGAGACCTTCTGCAGGGGGTCCTGTGCTCATGTTTGCTTGCCTGTAGACCTTGACGTGTGCATGTTTGTGCATGTGTCTGCATCTGCTACTGGCTGAAAAGCAGTCTCATCATGGCAAGTGCTTCATTCCACCAGATGTTGCATTGTCTCGGCATCCATAAGCTACCGAAGCTCACATGACGATTGGCTGAGACCCCTGGCAGTTGCTGAGGCTTCATGTGATGTGTTCCTGGGCAGATTTCCTGCCTGGCGGCATTGCTGTGGCGAGGCCGGGGATTCGTCATCAGGGTCCCTTCCGTGAAAGCAGCTAGTACTACCTGAAGGCCCTGTGCCACCGACTGCCACAGAAACATAGTCCTTGTCCTTGCACCAATGTTTGTGGGGCGACTTCGAACTTGAAAAACCATTTCCTGCTTACATTATGTCCCGACCCTGAACCTGCCAATAAGCAAATCAAGACAGGAACCCTGACTGCAATGAGGACCCCTACTAAACCTCAGACAACATAAATAACTGGAGAGCCCGACATTCTATGCAAGTTCAACTGTGGGAACAATGTTAAAGGGGTTGTGGTTCAAGCCTTTAGGGCCTTAGCCTTAGGGCTTAGGGCCTAGGGCTTAGGGCTTAGGGCCTAGGGCTTACATTAGGGCCTAGGGCTTCGGGGTGTTCAGAGTTTCTAGGTTCGAAGGGAAGAGCCCCTGGGCTTTCGGGTTTAGCTTGGGGATTCCGAGTGTTCAACGGCCTTGCCGGTTTCGGGGTTCACGAAGGCTTTCGGCTTGGGGGGTTCAGGGGTTCCTTTTTAGGGCAGACTTTCGGCCTTTAGGGTTGTTCGTTTCAGGTCGCTGGAGTCGTGTTGCTTCCTTTAGGGCATTCTTGCTCCTAGGTCGGTTGGAACATGGACCGATTCATCATGGGGGGTGCAGCTTGTTCGGAGTGTTCTGCAGAGATGCACACACACACAACAGTAAACCCCGACCATGGCCCGTGGTCAAAGGGGCCCTAAACACCCTAAACATGAACAGGCAGCCAGGGGATGCATGCGCCCGCACACACACACAAAGCCCTGACCTCGTATCATCAGACAGAAACTCCGAAGCCTAGCCCAGAACAGGACACAGAGCAATAATTGAGTCCCGCACTAGTGCCCTGATCAATGTCATGTCCACAGCCGTTGAATGACCTATTCCAGCATTAGGCCAAGAGAAATAATCCCAGAATCCCAATATACATCCTGAATTTTTAAACCCTAAGCAGGATTCAGACGGGTTGTTGGAGTCCGTGTTGAAAGGTCTGTGTAAAATAACCAGGAGGACTTGCATGCCAAGAATCCATGAAATAAACACTACAGCAGCCCTTTCTTGTTGTCTGGCACGAGTGTGTTTCGAATGTCCTCCTTAGTCTTAGGGGGAGGGTTGCCCTGAAAAGCTTGCTTGACTTGGGAACACGTTGCCTTCCGATGGAAAGCGCCATTGTTCAGCGTTCATGGGCAAGATGCTGCTGAGGAGCAGCACCATGATCCTGAGAAGCACAAAGCGACAAAGTTGCTTCTCGACCGCCAAGACTCCAAGACACGGACCGAGTCCGTGAAGATGGCGGCGACAGCACACTGAGGTTCCAATGGTTTCCCAGTTTCGGCTAGTTGGGAAGAACCACTGCCGCGGGCTGGCGGGGACAATCCTCAGGTCGGCGTCATTCGATTCGGTGTCCGTCTCCTTCTGGACTACGCCGCCACAGCTGAATGGACAGCCTCAGCGGAACGGGCAGCAGCAGGCGCCTTCAACTTTGGACCCCCTAGAGACAGCGTAAACCTGAGCCCATGCCTGCTGGATTATTAATGCCTATAAGAGTTTATTTATTAAGTAAGTCAATTGGGAAGACCAATTCGTAGGGGCTGGATTTTGTGACTTGCGGTGGCACACTCTTAAGATTGCTGGCTCGTCATTAAACTCTGAAACTGATCTTTTGGGGTTTGCTGCCGATTTGCCCTGGCTCACTGGCTGCCGTCGGCAGCCCTGGTCCGCCGACACGTTTGGGGGCTTCCGTTAAGCCTGCCTTGACCCTACAGCAGCCCAGCCCCAGCCCCGTTAGGAATAGGACTTAAGGGGCGAGTCAGCTTATAAGAGAACCGCATACAGACGATTGTTTTTTTGTACCTTCTCAGGAGTTGCCACCTTAGGCGCCAGCCAGTGGGCATAATAAGTAGCATGTCATGTGCAGGCCTGGAGGCCGCCTTCCCAGGCCCCTTTCCTTCCCAACCTTCATTCGTTCAAGCAATGAAGAAGGTCCAAGGGCCCCTGTAGGACCCCCCTGGTGTCTGGAATCACCCGAGTCCGTGTGCAGGCTGCTTTGCTCTGCCGTTTCAGCCTGCAGCCAAATTTCGGGACAGTCGTTGGGATCGACTGTTTGTCATGCTGTGACAGTCGTCGCGATCGACTTGTTGTCCTGGTGTTCAGGTATCTAATAGCAGCACAGGAATGATAGCATTTCTGCTTTTTCAGTTCTTTGTTGCTTTGCGGCTCTGAGCCTTGCTGATAGACACAAGTTGCACTCGGCATTGGCATTGTATTCGGTTTGTGAAATTAGCCTGCAGGATTTTAAGAGATCGCAGACACCAGGGCCTGCCTGATAAGGAAAAAGGGAAACCCCTTGAAAGGAATCCTTAACCCCTTGGAATCCATTCATCCTAATATGGCCTTCAGCCGCTTCCTTATTCGAGGATTCCGGGCAGAAGCGAATTAGTGTAGAGGAGTGTAGAGTGTAGAGGCTTCAGGACAACAGTGGGTCACGGAACAAGCTAATATCGAAGCAGCATCTCTCACAGTCATTGATATAACAGAAGCAGTAAGCAGTTCAAACCCGGCTGGGTTTCCATCTGGGATATTAGCATGCACGGAGTTTCTCAGTTCTGGGGGCAAAGTTTGTTCAGCAATTGGAACCCCTACCAAGGAAAGCAGACTATTTCGACCCCTGTATGAACTGCTTGATAGCCTGGAGAGAGAGTCTTCAAGATATGTGCTCACATGCTTTCTAAGGTCTCTCGTCGAAGGCGTCTTTGCAAAGACAAACCTGGGAGGCCTGTTGTGGGCGCTCTTCTGGTGATTGTTCTGCACTGCTGTAAACCAGGATTTAGTCCAGTCAAGTTAAGACATGTTACACTCACCAACCGGCCGCTGCAGTATCCAGATCGATCTTCGTAGAATCGAGACACGAAGCCAGCACAACCCACCTCAAAAGTATGTCTTTAACAGGAAAAGCAGTGACAGAGGAGGTAGCATGTTACTGTTAGTTCTTTCAAACAGTAACGACAGAAGCCAGGATAGAGCGGGGACAGTGCTTTCTGGTCATGTTTCCTGCATCCAGCTCCGAAGATGAGCAAGACACTGTCCGGCATCCGGCAGCCCAATGCCCGGACAGAGAGCAAGCTTCAGAGCCTCAGGCACGAGTGAATGCTGCAGCACAAGCTCCACAGGCAGGCCCGAGACCAAGACCGTTAAAAAAGGCTGGACTTTCGAAAGCTTGGGATGCTAAAGATGCAATCTTGCGTTCTTCTCTTGCAGAATCTGCAGAGCGACAAAGCTTCAAGGAGCTGCTCGGAAAGATTCAGAAGGAAGAAAACATAGAGGCTCGACTTTTCGTTTGGGAACGACTCTACGACGAGACTCCCACATACTGCTCGCAAGGGTACCTGCAGGAGGACACTGGCGAGATTGTATATATTCCCGAGACCGGAAAGATTATGGCCAGCAAACTGCGATGGGGCATGTGTCTGTACTTGAAGCCAGGGTTCCGAGAGGACCTTCCGCGGTATCACCTGGTGCATGGCACCCTGACCAGTCCATTGGTGGCAATGGAAAATCAGCAGGGCCCCATTGTGCGGAAAACCATCATGGACACGATGTCTTGGAGTGCAGAGGAGGCCCGAATGCTCGAGGTCTTCAAAAGGCAGATTGATCCTCACCTGTTTATGAGCAGACCGTTAGAACATCAGACATTATAACCGGGCTTCAACCAGGGGCAGCATGAACCCATTCAAATATTACAGACATAGATTGTTCCAGCCTCTCCTGCCTGGAACCGACAGACTGTGGGCATCTGAGGTGCTGCGACACACGGATTTGCACCGATCTGCCTTAGCAGCAGAGCGTTCCTTGGAGGTCGACACTGGAGTTCCATCGACATTGTTGCGGTGTTGCCTACACAGATATCGCACATCTGAGCAGAATGCACTTTCCGTGGATCCAGCGACAGAAAGCTTTTTGATCAATGCCACATTGGCATTTCGGCAAAAAGCCGGGTTCACGAGACTAGCAAGGGACCGAGTTATGAAGTTTGCTCTCCAGAAGTGCCGAGTGTATGCAGGAGAGCCACCTGCTGAAGTGAAGCGCTGGCGGGCCCAAATGGCCAGTGTCTTGTGGCCTCATGCTCCCAAGACCAAGGCCGAGGCCCGAAGAAAGTTCCTTTGGGACTATGTTTTGAATGGAGATGTCCGACTTGGGTCTGAGCTGCAACACTATTGCATTGGGCCCGATTGCTGCCCAAATGGAACCGAGAGCCTCCGCTTCAAGCTTCGACAGGCCTATGGACTGGAGGCCTTGTTCAGTCCTCCTCCCATCAACTTTCCACGAAGATCCTGGCAAGGGCAGCATGCTTCGAGCGCACACATGCTCCAGCTCTTTTGCTGTCACGGTTTGTTGTTGCACGTGCCCTTCGAAAGTGACGTGCAGGAGTACCTGCATCGGTCCGATTCCCTGCAGAACCTCTATGTGGCAGTTCTAACCCTGACCCGAACGGATGAACTGAAAAGAGCCGCAGTGGATCGCTGTGGCAATGATTATGAGCACCAGCAGATGTGCAGGGAGTTGCCTAGACCGCACGACAAGAGTACGCCCGAGCATGCAGTTTATCCAGCTCAGACAGCCTTCCGAGCTTTGGACTTGCATCGTTTGTTGCAGTCTAGCAGTGAGGACTTCTGCCAGGGTCCAGAAGTTTTGTCCGAGTTATTCCCAGAAAGCAAGAGCATGCCCCTGGAACTGCTGCTCTACCGGATGACCACCCGGCTTCAAGGCTCCCTTTATTCCCTGGGCATCATCGAGCAGAGGGTATACCCATATGCATTCTTTGAGATCCTGGCAAGCAAAGCAGCTGCAGGCGAGATTGCTGAAGATGCCAGCATCAGCAAGGATTTGTTCGACTCCTTCGGCAGGCTCATGCTTGCAGCATATCCACGAGCTTTTCGGCAATGAAAGTGAGGTCATGTCTGTGAACTTTCCCCTGGGCCCAGGTTTAGCCTTCCCCTGTATGTGATTTCATGCTTGCAAAGTGGGATTCTCGCAAGTGTGCATTGTCAAGAAACACTATATGGGAATTCAGGATGCTTGCACCCGTGAGGTGTCTGTTGAATGTGTAAGTTTTTGGTCAGAGGCATGGGGAAGGTGGGGCCTGCTCAACTGCCCAGCATCTTCCGAGGAAGAGGATCTGCTTGGAGCAGGTTGCCAGGCTGAAGTGCTCACTGTGGCGAAGCTGACACGTGAGAGCACGAATGAGATAGAAGCAGGGCATGCTGCAGGCAAGAAATGGGCGAGGCGCCGGAGCGATCTCGGCAGAGCTCTGAAGTTGCAGGACCAGAGTGCCCAGCGCATGATGAGGATGTTGCAGGGGATGCCGGCTCTCCATGCAGACCTCTGGTCCGATCTGTCCATGGCAGGCAACAAGGGTCCGACTGAGGACTCTTCCGGGAACGGAAAGAAACGCAAGGGCCCAGGACAAAACCCGGAAAAGACTACTGCCAAGAAACAAAGAAGCATCTCTGCATATCAGGCTTATGTGGCCAGCAATGTCCGGGGCCGACTGGCAAACAGGGAGGATGTGCAAAAGTACCGGCAGCTCTCCGAGTCTGAGATGCAGAAGTATGGGAACCTGGCCCATGCCATGACCCAAAGGCGTCGTGTCGCTGGAGGAAAACGCTCGAAGGTTCGCAGGGCAGATCCCTTGGCTTGGCCTTTGAGGCTGAAGCGCAAGGCGGCCAGGCGGCTGCAAAGTCGCTTTGATCCCAAGGAAGCACGCCGACAGCTCCAAAGAGATCGGTCCGATCCACTGTGGATGAGGTGGCAGCAAATCAGCTCGGAAATGGACAGACAGCACAATCAGGCCCAAGCAGGGGACAAGCAGGCCCGAGAGGACTTTCTGTCGCATGTGGACTGCAAGGGTGAACTTTGGCCTCTAGATCCTTTGAAGGACCACATCTTCAGCTGGCGCATCCAACGACCACCTGCCTGCTCTGATCCTGTCCCTGACACAGGCTTCACTTCTGACTTTGTGCAACACACATGGATGAGCAAAGCTGCTCAAGATGTTGCTTGTGCTCCGAGCATCACCGGAGTTCTTGGACGGTCAAGGGAGTCGCGGCTGGCGGAGTGGGAGCGGCGGCACGTGGTTTTGCGGCCTATGCCTGGGGTCAAACTAGCGAAAGAGTCTGATAATGCTCGAGCAGCCCGTGCCATCAGACAAGCTGGGCTTGTGCTCTCCCCTGCAGCCCGCAACCTGGAAAAGGCATTAGCCAACATGCTGATGACCTTTGCTGGTCAAGGCTTGAAGGAGCCGTCCAAGGTCAAAAGCAAGCAGCGATTGCTGCTCGATGAGAACCACGTAGTTGTCCGGTTGCAGAGGCCCGAGATTGCCGGGTCCATGGTCCGATGCCTTTGGTATCAGGTTTGCTACCTGACATATGATCGGCCTGTGCGAGCCACCTTCCTGTCTCTGGAGGAGGACACGTAGCCTGGTTTGAGAAGCGGCATAAGCAGTAACTCAGTCATCAATCAGTAAGCAGTAATATAGTAATATGTACTAGTGGTAATTCGTAATATGCTGTCTTCCACAATGCTATGCGGGACCCTGGAGCTCTTGTTCTGTTCAATGTCAGTCTATCTAACCCACGAGGTACCTCCAGCCGACCACGAGGCAAGGTCTCATCTTGGCCCCGAAGTGGAAACCGGGATGTGGTCGGCAAACATGGCTTTTCAGCCTTCCAGAGCTGGCTGCTTCCTTGGTGCCTAGCAGCAATTGGACGGGGGAGTTCTTGTATATTAAAGGTTGCGGACTTGGGCCCGAAAAGGAGGAGGCTGACAACGACAGGCCATTTTTCCTGGATGTGCAACCCATGGACACAGGTCCGTTTACTCTCGATTCCGTCTGCACTTCGAAGGGGCCGAATGGTCCAGACCAGGCAGGGTCCGAGAGTGATGATGATGCTGTCCAGACAGAGGCACTCCAGACAAAGGCCCGAGTCAGCCAGGCTTTCAAATCTGCTGCTTTGGACGTCCATGGAATGCTTCCACAGGAAGAGGTCGAAGACATCATCCAGAGAGCTGCAAAAGGCAAAACAATACAGCTTGCGGATGATGTCAAGGTCCTCTTTACCTTCCGACAGCCAAGCAAGCAAAATCCCTGTGGGGGTTTTCAGGTCCGATGCTACTGCCACAGGCCCGACAAGAAGGTCAACAAGGCAGGGACCGAATATGCGCTGGCATGTCGCCGCACTATGTCCATTCCAGGAAGTGGCCAAGCTGCAGAGACTCTGAAGCATCTGTCCGAATGGGCCCTGGCCGGACCGAATTTCGAGAGTCGAGTGAAGCACCAGGCCATGCCACTACCTGGAAGAAAGACCAAGGCAGCAAAGGGGACGAGTGCAGGGAAAAAGGCTTGCAGCAAAAAGAAGCGGTCCAGCTCCTCGAGCAGCTCCAGCAGTAGCAGCAGCAGTGACAGCAGCAGCAGCCAGAGCAAGAGCAAAAACCAGGGCCGAATGGATGAGCTGCGTCTGCCACGGGGTGTTGCCAACTTACCTGCAGGCATCCTGGTGAAAGGAAGCTATGAGCTGAGCGACGTTCCCGGTGATGGGGATTGCTTGTTCACTGCTTTGGGCAGAGAGCTGGAGTGCAAGGAAAAGCTCATCCCGGGCATGCGGCTGCCCAGTGGCCAGAGTGGTTCGAACATGGGCCCGAGGTGGCGGTCGCAACTGGTGCAATCTGTTCGTCGATTGGCCAGCAGCAGGACACAGTTTGAGGGCCTTGGCATATCAGACTGGCTGCAGCACTCTGGGTGGCCCGACCTGGAATCCTACATCGATGGGATGACACTGGCCGCAGAAAATCCAGAGGATCCACGGCAGCACTGGGGTGGCTTTCTGGAGGCTACGATCTTGTGTCATGCAACAAGCCCATTGGTAGGTTGTCTGTTGGCCAGGCAGGTTCGAGAGGGGGTCCGATGCCAAGCTTGGTGTGGTGCTCCGTTCAAAGGCCCACCAAATTATGTGGCCATCTGCTGGACAGGAAACCACTGGCAGAGACTTCGTCTTAGGAAACCAGCCGAAGAGAAGCTGCAGGAGTGGTTCCTCTCTGTGTAGCCAGGCCCGACTGTGTAGGCAGGCCACAAGGGCCCGACTATGTCTTGGGCGCAAGGAGACAGAAAGCAAGAGCCACGACTACGATTGTATTCAGGAGTGCCCATGTGCCATGCTAATTAGGAATAGAAGAAAACAGGGTGAGCAAGATACGACATGCAGCTGCCAGTCACATTGCAAATGAGGCGCCCTAAGAGGCATTGTAGACATGACTAGGATGTCTTGGCTGCATGCAGAGAGAAAAGGAGAGCTATGATTGTCTTGAGGACAGCCCATATGCCATGCAAAGTTAGAATACATGAAGACAGGGTCAGGTAGACTTCAGATGCAGCTGCTCCTGACATTGCAGATTAGGCGAACGAAGAGTACTTCTGGACATCAGCAAAGCTGTGCTTGCTCTGGTGCAGGTCTGAAGCCTGCTGTCGGTTTGGCGCGAGCAGATCTTTGTGCCTGAGAAGGCACATTCTGTGCTTGCAACCGCTCAGAGTAATTGCTTACAGTTACAAGTCTTGTACTTTCTGACTCCATGAGAAAATTGGAATTGTAAGGACGAGCTCTGTCATCCAGGTATTGTGCTAGCTAGCTAGTGTAACCCATGGATGGGCATGGCAGGAAATCGTGATCAGAAAGTTTCCTTTGTTGACGTATCCGGAAGCCTTCAGATTGTTATATTCACGGGTCGTAGTTCGGCAGATTCGGGGATTGCAACGGTTCTGAGGTCTTGTGTTTGTGTGCTGGAGGCACAAGACATAGGGCACAGGGCAGTGTGCACGGCATGCTGGATCCGACATGCAGTTCGCTGCAGGCAGCAGGCTTAGCTAGAGATGTTCGTGCAAGCACCGGGTGCCTGCTAAATTGTTTGACAGAAACTCCACAGCATGTTGCAAAGGACTCGTCTCCTTGGCCGACTTAGTTTATAAGCTGCAGGTAGCACGTAGCCTTTGTGCAGGTAGCCACCTTGCAGTTTTTGAGATGTTGCGTGCAGCCACGGGCGTGGCTGCTGCATTCCTGCACACTGCATACTGATGTAAGCACCAGAAGGGCCTTGGCAGGAGGCTCAGGGGTTCAGTGTGAACGAACACGACCTTGCACATACACACAGGGAGGTTGCAGGTAGCGGCAGACCTGGGTGGTGTATTTCTCCGTAGTGAGGCAAGCTCCATAGCTCCGGTCTTTGCATAAGGCTCAGGCCTTGAATTTTTAGGAAGCACCATGAACTTGCAGGTATTCAGAAAGGCATGCCGGGCAGCGCTCCTGTGCGGGGTACCCGCAGGGGCCTTGTGCGGTTACCCGCATGCCCTGTGCGAGTACCCACGGGGGCCTTGTGCGGGTACCCGCGGAGGCCTTGTGCGGGTACCCGCGCGGCCTGTGCAGGTACCCGTGCGGGCCCTGTGCGGGTACCCGCGGGAGCCTTGTGCGGGTACCCGCGCGGCCTGTGCGGGTACCCGCGCAGGCCTTGTGCGGGTACCCGCGCGGGCCTTGTGCAGGTACCCGCGCGGGCCTTGTGCGGGTACCCGCGCGGGCCTTGTGCGGGTACCCGCGTGGCTTCTTGGCGTGTTCTTGAATTGACTAAGTCTAAGTAAATTCCATTGAGGTTTTTGCAGAAAGCTTAAGGCTTAAGGCTTAAGGCTTAAGACTTAGGTAGTTCAGTATTACCCACAGACATACCGGCCCTTCGCGGGTACCCGCGCGGGCCTTGTGCGGGTACCCGCGCGGGCCTTGTGCGGGTACCCGCGCGGGCCTTGTGCGGGTACCCGCGCGGGCCTTTTGCGGGTACCCGTGCGGGCCTTGTGCGGGTACCCGCGCGGGCCTTGTGCGGGTACCCGCACGGGCCTTGTGCGGGTACCCGCGTGGCTTCTTGGCGTGTTCTTGAATTGATTAAGTCGAAGTAAATTCCATTGAGGTTTTTGCAGAAAGCTTAAGGCTTAAGGCTTAAGGCTTAAGACTTAGGTAGTTCAGTATTACCCACAGCCATACCGGCCCTTTGCGGGTACCCGCGCGGACCTTGTGCGGGTACCCGCGCGGGCCTTGTGCGGGTACCCGCGCGGGCCTTGTGCGGGTACCCGCGCGGGCCTTGTGCGGGTACCCGCGTGGCTTCTTGGCGTGTTCTTGAATTGACTAAGTCTAAGTAAATTCCATTGAGGTTTTTGCAGAAAGCTTAAGGCTTAAGGCTTAAGACTTAGGTAGTTCAGTATTACCCACAGACATACCGGCCCTTTGCGGGTACCCGCGCGGGCCTTGTGCGGGTACCCGCGCGGGCCTTGTGCGGGTACCCGCGCGGGCCTTGTGCGGGTACCCGCGTGGCTTCTTGGCGTGTTCTTGAATTGACTAAGTCTAAGTAAATTCCATTGAGGTTTTTGCAGAAAGCTTAAGGCTTAAGGCTTAAGACTTAAGACAGTATTACCCACAGACATACCGGCCCTTTGCGGGTACCCGCGCGGGCCTTGTGCGGGTACCCGTGCGGGCCTTGTGCGGGTACCCGCGCGGGCCTTGTGCGGGTACCCGCGCGGGCCTTGTGCGGGTACCCGCGCGGGCCTTGTGCGGGTACCCGCGTGGCTTCTTGGCGTGTTCTTGAATTGACGAAGTCTAAGTAAATTCCATTGAGGTTTTTGCAGAAAGCTTAAGGCTTAAGGTAGTTCAATATTACCCACACACAAACAGGCCCTTTGCGGGTACCCGCACGGGCCTTGTGCGGGTACCCGCGCGGGCCTTGTGCGGGTACCCGCGCGGGCCTTGTGCGGGTACCCGCGCGGGCCTTGTGCGGGTACCCGCGCGGGCCTTCTGCGGGTACCCGCGTGGCTTCTTGGCGTGTTTTTGAATTGACTAAGTCTAAGTAAATTCCATTGAGGTTTTTGCAAAAAACTTAAGGCTTAAGGCTTAAGGCTTAAGACTAGGTAGTTCAGTATTACCCACAGACATACCGGCCCTTTGCGGGTACCCGCGCGGGCCTTGTGCGGGTACCCGCGCGGGCCTTGTGCGGGTACCCGCGCGGGCCTTGTGCGGGTACCCGCGCGGGCCTTTTGCGGGTACCCGCGCGGGCCTTGTGCGGGTACCCGCGCGGGCCTTGTGCGGGTACCCGCGCGGGCCTTGTGCGGGTACCCACGTGGCTTCTTGGCGTGTTCTTGAATTGACTAAGTCTAAGTAAATTCCATTGAGGTTTTTGCAGAAAGCTTACCAACGGCGCCGCTAACCTACAAAATAAGCGGTCGCGAAGTAATAACTCATCTTTGGACCGCATGTTGGTAGGTAACCTGGTTCATCATTAAAAAACCTGGTTTTCCTTTGGATGCCTCAACTAGGAGTGATCTTAGTCGTCTTCTCACTGGGAAGAAGGATCTTCATTGACTTCTATATACACCAACTCGTTCATAGATGTATGCAGAATCCTGATGAAAGCACTAACAGGGCTTGTTCATCACTGGATGATGGCGAAGCTCCCCGGACCATACTATAGTTATCCCGATATCCCCACATTAACCTTTCCGACCCCAATCGCCCCGAGAAGCTTCCAGGCCGCCGCACACATCAGCTGGGGTCAGATGAGTTTGGGAAGGCTTCGGGATGATTGAGATGTAAACGGTATCGCTCAAAGGGCCCGGGCTACTTAGACAGAGTGCTGTCTGACTTCATAGAGATTTATACTCCTGAGTTTGATTTGTTGCAAACTGGGAGGATGGAGTTCCTAATCGTAATCGAAGGCGGTCGAGGTATGAGGGCTGCCATGCAGAAAGCATGGCTGTGCAATGTCGCCCAAGTTTTCTCCGACACCAAAGCGTCCGGTGCCCAGCGGCGTCCTGCGAGGGCTTCGCTAAAGTTCCAGTTCTGTCTGCTGTCCCTCTCTCTCTGCCTCACATACTCTCTCTTTCTCTCTCCGGCTCTTTCTGTTTGTCAGCACTTAATGGCGCAAAGAGTTTTTCACATACCTGCTTCCTCGCAGCATTTAGGCTTGCAATCTTGGGTAGGAGTGAAATCTTCACCATGGTTGGATCCTCCTCTTCCTTGGGTTCGGAGGGCAGTTCAGGCCAGCTGGACATCACGGGCTTGGCGACTGTGTGGGATGGGTTGCCTGTAGTGCGTCAGACTCTCCGAACTGGCGGTGCCTTGTTCAAGGAAGTTTCGGAGAAGAACACGGACCTACGAACTCCGTCAGCACATGCTCCAATCCTGAAGCCCATCTTGGTGCTCATGAAAGACAACAACAAAAAGCTGCCTTCCATTGATGCCTTGAGGGAGGAAGTGAAGGCTGTCTATCAGCTCAACAAGCGCGACATAGTGCCTTCTGAGGTGGAGGGTGCTGCTTGGGGTTTGAGGAAGTACGCAGGCTTCGTGAAGATGAAGTGCCGGAAGCGGCAGCCTTCCAACGATTCTAGTCGGCGGAGCATAGATCGGCACAGAGTTTGCGCCCACATATGCTATATAGTATAGTATCCTTGAGCCCGAACGGAGTGTTTGTTGCTTCCCAGGATTTCGTCTTCCAAGAGCTCTGCTTGACCCTGGACCCAGACTTGCAGGCTTGGGACTCTCGCGTAATTGGTCCAGGCCCCTAAGCCCTACAAGCTCCTTAAACCGATTATATTAGATCATGGTTCTTAAGGGGTGGAGACTTGCCAGGAATTGGTGGATGAGATCAACGAGCGGAGGGCCGCACTGATCGCGCCGCCTGACCCCGAGGCAAGATTTGATTTGGTTGGACAGTTTTCATTGAGGTTGTGCTGGGCTCTGCACACTTTCTGCTTTTACTCGTCAGGACCCAGACTGCGAAGATGACTACGAAGGGGAGGATGACGAGGGCGGCGAAGACGACGCAGGGGGTGTGGGTGAGATTGATGCGGCCGCGCCCGCGGCGCCGGTGGTTGACCTCACCACAGAGATGGATGTGAAGGAGGAGTTGATGGATGCGACCGAGCAGGAGCCGTTGGGTGAGACAGAGGCATCAAAGCCTTTGGTGGAGAGGCGTGAGACAAAGGCATCAGAGCCTTTGGTGGAGCGGGATGAGACAGAGGCATCGGAGCCTTTGGTGGAGCGGGATGAGACAGGGGCATCAGAGCCTTTGGTGGAGACAGAGGCATCAGAGCCTTTGGTGGAGAGGGGTGAGAAAGAGGCATTAGAGCCTTCAGAGCCTTTGCCAGCTGATGCGACAGTGCCGCCACAGCCCAGTCTGCCGAGATGCTAGGATGCAACATAAACCATCGGTAAAACACGTCAGTCATCCCTTTATGTCTCGATCCATGTTGTTGCGTTCAGGAAGCCACTACAAGATGGTCGAGGTTCAGGACAAGTTGGCGGCCGCTAAGGACAGGTTGGAGAAGCTGCTTTGTCGGCATGGTCAGAGATTTGCATGGGCTATACAGTTTGCATTGGGTATGCACAGTTTGCTGTCATGCAGTACGGGCTATGTTTGAGGCTAAAGCAGAAGAAACGCCTTCTGGAGTCGGGTGGCCCTTCCTGTGAGAATATCAAGAAGCCCAAGAATCACCCAGGACAGGGCAAGTCTCGCGGCCGTGAGTTGTATATGTGGACTGAAGTTTTGCATGTTAACATGATAACAATCATTCAGGACGTACGGATACCTTGGAGACCCAGCCGGTTGACATCATGGCAGTGCCCACCCCTGATGCTTCCTTGCTGGACCCAGTCCTGCCGAGTGGTAGCGATGCCACCAAGAAGCTTGCAGACGTCAAACGCAGGAAGAAGCAGCCCCCATCCGATCCGCCTTCCACACCCTCGTCTGCATCCAAAGGTGAAAAGGAGGCTTTTACACCGGAGGAGGAGGCGCTATGTTATACTTGCATCATGCTATGTGATGAGAACATGCACGTGTTTCCGAGTGGCAGACTGCATAGTGTAACAAAGGCATGTGCAACACATTTTACATAAGTGCAAGACTCTGCAGTTCTGGTTTTCCTCGTGTGCACAGGTGGCCAAAACCCACGAGATCCTGTTGAAGATCGACCAGAATGCTGGCAAGCGTCGGCGAAAGGATCGCCGCAAGAAGGCGGCTGAGGACGAGGGTGCTGATGCTGATGGTCATGATTCCCATGGTGAGCGATCGAAAGAGAAGACGCTTAAGAGGCGCGTGAGCAAGCGTCGCCTGGTCATGAAGCGCAAGAACTCTAAGCGATCAAGATCTTTCGAGGACGAGGGTTCCCCATCGCCGGAACCGGTCGTGGAGGAGCCACAGGCTGCAGCCCCGAAGCCCAGGGTTCGGGTTACAGGGAAAAAGGTGCCGACGGCAGAGGACCCAACGGCCCCAGCTCCGAAGTCAGCTCCGAAGTGCAAGGCCAAATCGAAAGCCAAGCCTGTCCCGAAGTCAGCGCCGAAGGCCAAAGCCAAGGCTGCACGGAAGGCGGTGTGTGCAGAGGACGAGGAGGGCTCAAAGGCCCCAGCTCCAAAGCCAGATGCGAAACGCAAGTCAGCTCTGAAGGTCAAGGGCAAAAGCAGTGCCAAGCCTGCTGTGGAGAGCGCCGAGCCCAAGGAGACTGGCAATGTTTCGAAGCCTAGGGCAAAGGCCAAGGCCGGTAGCCTTCGCCCATCGGTTTCGAATGATTTCGAGCTTGACGAGCACTTGATGGAGCGCTTTGTGGCCTACGGAGGGCAGTGCCATGGCGAGGAGGACAAGTTCAGTCTTGAAACCAAGAAGCGGCTAAGGGCATGCCTTTCCACTTTCGAGCACTCCACCTTGATCATCTACTGGACTCGGCCCGCCGTTGCCCTCAAGTTTCGGAAGCACGATCGCACCAAGGACTACTTTTACAATGCGTTCCCCTGTCCCGAGGGTGTCTGCTATCGCATCCACATGCTTGTGTCCATCCAAGTGGGGATCGAGATGGCCCCTTGCCTTTTTTAGAATTCTATCTGTAGAATGCTATCATTTGGTCATATTATGGTGCTTCCGACACCCGATTTAGGCAGAGTTCCTTGACATGCTCCTCGCGGACAAACCTGTGGAATCCTGGCCGGGGTTCGAGGAGAAAGGCATGGCCGTTCTCTTGGACGATGAGCAGGTGGCTTTGCACTACGACCAGGTCGTGCAGCACGGACGAGAGGCCATGCAGGTCCTCTTGGAGGAGGACGCAGAAGCAGAGGACTGATCGACTGCCCAAGTGAGGCTGTGGATCCTGCCAGTGGTGGCCATGCCTGGTGTGGGAGCTATCTTTTCTTCTTGCATAGCTGGGATGCATGGCTGCCAAAGGCAGCATTACTTCAGCTTTTACCTAGTACGGATTCAGCGATGAAGCCTTTCCCATGTCGTTCCATGCAAAGATGATAGGCACTCTTCCTTGACGTCACTCTGTTGTTACTACAAGTGTATTTGCAAGCTTATTGTGTTTCTGTTGTATAAGGGAAGGTCGGCTCGCGACTTTTGTGCATGTGGCAACCGCCACAAATCAATGTATCATGATTTCAATCTGCTGGGCCTGGAGCTCTCATCTCTCGATGCTGTGTTACAACCCGATCCCCACTGATGCAAGGCCGGTGTTTGGCATGAGTTATATGTATGCATGCTACAATGTACATACCATGACCTTCTTTCTCGTAACAGTCCTGAAACTGCATAGCCAGTCCATGCAGCTGCCAGCACGAAGAACGATGACGCCGGCATAGTTCTGCATCTTAGTGGTTTCGGGCTCGATGCGGGGCTTAGTCTGCTGAAGCGCAGTGAAAAATCAGCAGCTGAAAGCTCGATCTGATTCTGTCGGAGTATCAGTGGCAGCTAGGCATGTTTCCAAAGCCCCACACCCCGAGTAAGTAGATAGGTCCCCGTGCTTTTTTACACAACATTCATTCGAAGCTTTGTAGAGCCACAGACCAGTGCTGCAAACAAAGGCTCGGGCTTCGCAATCATGCTTTTATCCCGAAATGCACCCAATCTATATCCGTCTTTATTAGAAGTGAAACCTTCTAAGAGATCCCGAACATAATTCCAAACAAACCCACAAATCCAGATCGCTTGCCGAGGCCGGATCATTCCACGTGGCTCCAGCTGGAAGCTGCGGCTGCAGAGGTCATTGCGAACTAGTGACACCTGCCACGCTTATCCGGGCCAGGCTACTCTGTTGACAGCCAGGGATTGTGCTTGGAATATTGATTTGGGCCTTGCTTTATCGTATGTTTCCTGCCTGGAGCAATTTTGAGCTTCAGCATCAGACCCGATCTGGGTTTCGAGCACAGATGGACCCCTCTCGTCTGGATGAACTCCTGTGGCGCCTCTCTGCCATGAATGTTCCGAAGGATCCCCGGGGTGTTGGATATCGGTGCAGCATTGGGGCTCTGGATACATCGCATCATGCGGTAACCATGGTATGATCGCTGTGTTCAGGAGTTTGTGGCCTGCCTCGTCCTCGTCATCTTTTCTGTTCGAAACCTGGACCAGGATAGCTTGGCTGTGCTTTAGGATTTGCTAAAAAATAATGGTTCACGGGTCTACATACCTCATTCGGAGATCAGGCACTGAAGGCCTTAACTATTGAGCCACCACTATAGACAAGCCCTTAACCCCACTATCATTATAGTGCAATCGCTTCCCAAACCCCATAAAAGCCCCTTAAGCCCTCTATAGAATTCCTAAAGCCCTTAACAAAGCCCTTAAAACCCTGAAAACACCGTAAGTGCCCTAAGCCGAGCCCACGCACTGCTCAACATGCTGAAAGACACACAGTGTACTGCGTGTGTGTGTGCATATAGTATACATGGTATATGCAAATACATATAACGAAGAATCGGTAAAATAAACGGAATAGATCATTGCAGATATATATATATATATATATATATATAAATATATATATATATATATATATATCAACATATGCATAAATATACTTCTTTTCGGTGTATATGTATGTATGTATATATATATATATATATACGTTTGTGTTTTAAGTACATATACATATTAACTATACTGCATATAGTTGTATATGCTTTCATTTGCACCGCATCATTTAAAGCAGGTACGTCCATTACAAATACATACATAATACCAGCAAACCAACAACAAGTACATGCAACACAGTTACGAAGTTCTGCAAGCCTCTATTATGACATAAGGTCTCTACACATATAGCAATATACACATTTCATCTAGCTCGCTTTAGATGCACCCCGAATCTTGGGCTAATCCAACCGCCAACCCTTTGCCGAGGTCAGTCAGCAAGTGCTATAATCACTATAACCTTCGACCTTCGATCTAGCTTTATAACAGAGCAAGATTGTATTGGTGCATGCTGGGTACAAAACTCAAAGGCTTCAGGGGCAGAGTTATATAGGGTCTTGCCAACTAGGGGAAGCAGAGTTCTTTGGGTGTCGGGAATCAAAGATCCTGTGCAAACAGGGGAGATAGAAGTGTTCAGGCCTTTCTAGATTGCGTTTTTTCTCCTATGCATATCTGCATAATTAGTTTAGAAGTTCCCTAGAAACCCTAGCCAATCCAAACCCCTATAGAAACCCTAGCCAATCCAAACCATTGCATGAAAACATATATCTTCACAAAAGCCCTCGATCTATTATACAAAACCAAGACTTGAACCTCTCAGCCTCACGAAAGGCCCAAAGCCGAATTAACCCTAAAAAGATCTTAATGATGCGTCTTTCAGTTCAAGCCAAACAACAAGCCCGGCGACAACATATTGTGTCAGAACAAGTAAGATAGGCCCACGGGATCCCGTCAATAGAAACTTAGCTAACTCAATTATGTGTGCAATTTGTTAAAATGATCGAACTATATAGGCCCTGCAAACCATCATTCTGAGCATCGTGTGCAAGACTTCTATACAGTCTGCATGCATTTTACTGTGTTTCTTTTATATGGGTTCAGCTTACGCAGTTTTTCCCACCTAGCCACGGCCTCTGTATGGTGTCCTCTCTAGTAGCCACAATGTACCCTGTAAGTCCTACAAGCCTCCAGCCTGAGCAGGATTTCGAGTTCTTGGAATTCTTCGCGGGCCGCGCGAACCTGACGTATGCCATGCGGAAATCCAGGCGGAAGTCCGGACGCTTCGACATACTCTACAATTCCAGGTTTCATAAAGGTGGTAAGGTGAGGCGGCCAGGATGTGAGCACAAAACGAACTACATGGATTTGTGCACACCTGCAGGTTTTGCGCTCCCTGTCAGATTGGTTTCAGTTTCGTTTCGTGGTGCCCTGGTTGTTGGGGTATATAAGTATACAATCTGAACATCTTGGGTCTTTCATTCTTGTGCATTGCTGAGCAAGTTTGCCGAAACTAAGTCTCGCCATTTACTTCGTCTTGCGGGGCATGGCTGGGAAGCTCTTTGCAACGTTTGCAATTCAGTGCTCTACCTTCTGCACACTCAACAGAGGGACCTCAATGCGAAGCCCTGCCACACCTGTTGGCAATGTCAGTCATCCCTCTGTCAAAGAGGGCAACAAGTTGCTGGAGAGGATTGGGTTTTGAGGTTTTCGTTGCATTTCACATCGTCTACATTTTCCCTTTACATACTTTGCTGGTCCGTGTGCCTGTAGGAGTTTGGCTATACTGCAAGAGGTTATAATGAGTCAATGCATTCTGTTGTCCATACTGATATCGGATATGTGCTTCTAATATCATATACAGCCGGCTTTGCAGGAGCACCCTCCTCATGTACTTGGTCACGGTTGTGGGCGGGGTGTGGTTTGTTGAACAGCCTGGTGGTTCCAGCCTGGAGTTCTACCCGTGCTTCCGGGACATGCTTCGTGCGCATTGGGATGTGAGTGGCCCCTGTTCCGTCTAAGACTTAGTACGATCGATCCGCAAAGAGTGTGGCATGGTATATAACTCGATATACAACAATTCAGAACGCCACTCCCTGCTGAGGTCTTCCGGGTTTCCTGGTGGATGGCCCACTATGGATCCACGACTCCGAAGAGACACTATGGCTGGTGCAACTCGGAAAAAGTGCAGGGCCTCTGCCGGGGCCGACTGGACTTGAAGCAGTGGGCCAAAGCAAATAAAGGGATGCAGCCGAAAACCGTGAAAAGGGGCCACCGTGCTAGTGGCCAAGCTAGCTGGACTGGAACGAGTGCATTGAAGCCTACTCAGACACCCGGCCCTCATTATTGCATCCATGGTCATTTGTTCTTAGCATGAGCATATGAAAACGACCTTTGCTGGTTCACTTCATAAACAGCAGCCAAGGGAGTATCCGATGAGGTTTGCCCGGGAACTGGTCAAGATGGCAAGCAGCTTGGCTCTGACTGGACAGGGGTGCCCGCCTCTTCCGAAGGATGGTTGCCCAGCTGCTTTGGAGACCTTTGCATCCATGCAGTACAACCAGCACGAGGGTTTGTTCGACTTTGCCAACTTTGCTGAGCTCTATATTTACTTACGGGGCGGTGTGGGTCTCGAATTTCCTGATCAAGCCTGGAAAGACGTGCTTCCTAGAAAAGCACCCGGCCAGGCCCAGGGCTCTTGAAGCCTTTTATCCCGCCTTGCCCGGAAACCTGGTTTCTATGCAATTGCAGACTGCCACTATAGGTCACTGGGGGCTTTCGTGCGAGGTTGCTTCGGTTCCGAAGGACTGAGATTAAGCATTCCGTGTTCTGTGAATAGGTTTGGAATGGTTTTTACACATTTTAACATGTTTTGGTACGTTCTGGGCAGCGCGAGACAGTCAAGAACCCGGCTTTGTGCGAGAACCCGGTTTTCACCCGTACAAAACCCATATTTAACCCGTCGGAACACGTATAAACCCATAACCCTCAGAAACCCCGGTTTTCCCCAACCCGTCCGCAAAGCGTACGCAACCCATAATTAACCCATCTAAACCCATATTTAGATTATGGGTTTTTCTAGTGGAAACCGGGTTTTTCCTATGGTGGTATTTATCACCCTTCAACTGCCTGCAAAGCAGAATCAGCGTATGCCGTACAGCTGTCAATTCAGCCTTGATGGCGCATGCATACATGCGCCTTTCAACTGCTGGCTGGCTCTGGGAAAGAGTTTGCTCTGAACCTGTGTCGTTGTGCGAAATAGCTTTTGTTGCATTTTACTACATGCCTGAGGCTGCAGCCGGCTAGCCTGAAGCGCATAGCCTGCCGAGTTTCGATATCTTGTGAGTCGTTATGGACTCCTTTGTTTCCAAACAATGGAGTTGTGCCACCTTCTTGGAGGGAGCAGAGGCTGTGGAAGGCGAGGCCGCAGCAGAGCAGCTGCAGTCAGAGGAGGAATCTCTTATGCGAGAGATACAGGACGGCCTGCATGTTCTGTCAGAAAAAACACACATATGCGCAGTATATGGCTTGAGAGAGGCGGAGAGAGATAGTGCGGAAGAGAATCGGTGCAGGGGATCACTTTCGGGTTATAAGGACGGTTGCTCTCTGGGTCCTTCGTGCTCGCTCTCTCTCTCTCTCTCTCTCTCTCTCTCGCTCTCCTATCTCTCCTCTCGCTCGCTCGCTCTCTCTCTCTCTCTCTCTCTCTCTCTCCCCACGCCTCCCCTCCCTCTTTGATTTAAAAGAAATCCTACAAAACATGGTACAAGCCCAATTTCCCTGAGCACAGCGCTTTCCTCCTAGCCAAATACAGCCTGTATATGGGTTCAGGGCGTGTCTGTGTCGGTGCTATATACTATATATATAATATCTATTACGATCTTAAGGGGTTTATTTACTGGGTTTATTTACTTATATAGGGTGTACCAGGGTCCGGTTCACGAAAGCCCGAAACTTCAACCAGCCGCCCAGTCTGACTTTCCATGAATTTAAGAATTCTAGAATCCGTTTGATTCGTTCTACATCCCAAAGACATGCACTGTATATGCATCCGAAACCGAAACGACAAACCAATCGAGCAAGTCAATTATATACTTTCGACAACCCCCAGCCCTGGAACCCTTCTAGGCCCCATCTAGATCGTTGATACCCCAGCCCAGCAACCCAAACAGGAGCTGGAACAAACACTTCGAAATGGCGAGAACCATGAGGATTGCGATGCCGCCCAGGCCGATCGAGTTTGCAATGTAGGTATATATATACATATTATGAAACCCCTGTCCCTTCAGGAGCTGTACCTCGATCCGTACGTGGAGTCGAGTGAGGAGACTTTGCCAGCGACCTGACCGCATCTCTCGCTCTCTCTCTCTCTCTCTCTCTCTCCATATAGTCCTCGATCCCTCTTTGACTTTGATACACGACCTTCACAATCAGCATATCAAGATTCCCTGAGGCTACTGACAGTCAGTTGCTGGAAGCTTATGATTACACTGTGGAGAGTGGTGATGATGCCTGGCAGCACTCTCTGCAGCGATCGATACATCCAGCAGTTTGCAAGCAAACCTAAGGAAGTAGACGCCATGTCTGATTGCGAAATCATCAGCAACCTGCAGAAGATGATCCCTCCTCGATTGCCAGGTGTAAAGTCCGAGCCTGCTGTGAAGGAATGTCCGGATGCCGATGCCTCCGACAGCACAAAGAAAGCTGTGACTGCAAGGGCCATTGCCACACCCACACGCAATCTTTTGGTGAAGGTAGAGAAACCCTCAAAGTCTCAGGTTGGGAATGGAACCAGCCCTCCTCAGGAACCATCGGAAGAGTCTGCACCTGGAAGCAGAACCAGCCCTGCTCAGAAACCCTCGGAAGAGGCTGCACCTGGAAGCGTAACCAGCCCTGCTGAGAAACCCTCGGAAGAGGCTGAAGAAGGGCACACCTCTGCAGATGAGAAGTCCGTGGGGGGTGAGAAGCGTGCGCTCTCGGTTGCCTCCGATCGCGCTGCAAAGCGCCCCAGGAGGAGGGAGCACACACGACAGGACCAACCTCATGCAGTCAAGTTATTCGGGCAATATTGCAATCCAGTTCAAAGTGTGCTCATGCGTTGGTTCACACAATGCATGTACATATCCTGTAAAATCGCAGGAGATGCTCAACCTCGCTGCCAAAGCAAGAATCCGTCGAATGGTTAAGCCCCACCGGAAAAGAACTGACCTCGAGGCACCAGAGGCTCTCAAAAAATATTGGGAAGCCGGAACGAAGGAGAAGGAAGAGCTGGCTGAACTTTTGAAGAAGTGCAACTTCAACCGAGAATCTTGTCATGCAGGATTTTAGAAACCCTCTATGACTCTATGATGCATGTCGTAGTGTAACGGACATTCAGCACCAAACACAATCTGCTAATAACTATATAAGGACATCTTCATCAGCACCGTCGAAAAGGTTGTCAGCAAAAGGGAGAAGATTACCTTGAAGCTGGACCAGGGTTGGTATTCCGAAGCTGAACTTCGGGACGAGCTGCACTGGCCGGCGTCACTGTTCTTAATTTTCGATGCATGTGCCCATGTCTCTGCGTGTGTGTGCGATGTCTGGTTTCTGATGCTGGAACACCTGCCTGGGACGGCTATACACATCGATCTGCATAAGGTCCAGGATTGAGGGCGTGAAGCGCTATTGCATGGCCCACAAGGACACTCACGTGAGGCTACTTTGCTTGCAATTGTGGAGGTCTGGCTGCATAACTTCAAATTTATGTGCATCTAAGGGCCAATGTCTACGATGGAGAACTTGAATACTGGGTTACCGTGAGGGAACGAGGTGAACGCAAGGAGACATTGACACGTGAAGAACGGCAGAGCCAGAAGGAGCAGGCGTGGTGACGTGGTGAGTGCGTGAGAGAGAGAGAGGAGAGATACAAATATAGAGAGAGAGAGAGAGAGAGAGAGAGAGAGAGGGAGAGAGAGAGAGAGTGGGTGAGTAAGTGAGTGCGGTTGTGTGTGTGTGTGTGTGTGAGTGGGGGGGGGGTGCGCGTGAGGGAGTGTGAGTGCCTCTGTCGTTGTGTGTGTGTGTGCCTGTGGGGGTGGGTGCGGGTGTGGGTGTGGTGTGCTGGGTGTGGGTATGGGCGGTATATGGATGTGGGGCTTGTGTCCAAGCGTCTGGGCTCCTCACTCGATGTGTTTCCTCTGACCAGGGTGGGCCCGTGGATCTTCCTGGCAGCAGCTTTGCTGGGGTCGGCTCATTGGAGCAACGTCTCAATCAAGACCACTCCCATGCACATAAGCAGAAGGAGATTGGACAGTATCAGCAGGCCTGCAGTTGTGTTGTCAAGCAATGTCATTACAGATATATACCTTCCTAAAGCAATTTGGCAAACTCTGTTTTCAGGAGCTGGAGACCATGAAGAAGTTCTGCGACTCGCTGAATGGCAAATCTTGCAAAATTCGAGGCCTCGTTAAGGACTTGGAGACCCACTACAGCGGATCAAGCCAAGCCAAGAAGTCGCTTCCCTATATAGAGAAGTCTTGTGCAGTTTATGTCGCCAAGTTGAAACCCTGAAGCCCCAAACTATAAGAAATAGCCAAAGACTGAAGATTTCTCCCGCAACCCAGGGCTGTTGATGAGCTGAACAAAGTGGTGCAGAGCTTGGAGCACAACTTCGAGCTGTGCAACGATGTCCTCGTCCAGGCTGAAGTTCACGGTCTGAATGCTGAGCCGCCAGCCTGAATTTGGGGTCGATGTGGTGTGGATCTGCTATATAGATACAAGCGTGTGGCCCAGGTTCAAGAAGCAGTGTGACGACAAGATCAAGGAGGGAACCCAGGCGTTGGGGACCAAGTCTTCAAGGAGATGGCCAATGCAGTTGTACTTTCTTAATCAAGAACGTGAGCTGCTTGTAATGCTGGCGCTCAGGGCTGGCAGGGCTGCTGCTGTGGAGCAGCGCATCAGGAGGGGTTCGGGATACGACCGGTATCGGCTGCGTCTCTTTGCTTTTGTGCTTGAATACCTTACAAACCATGTAGTTGCAATGTGTACAAATGTCACAAGCAACCTTATAGGAGTCCTTTTCCAGGAAAGTATTCAGGGCCCTTATATATTCATATAGAGACTATAGAGTTATATAAGGGTTATATGGATATATCTGGGTACTCTATATCGGGTTTCTAGGCTCGTTATGTTTGGTTAAGGGCTAGATAGAAAGGAACTATCTAGTCGATCTATATTAGTGACCCTGAGCAGATATGCCCGACAAGCCCCAAACCGGTGTAAAAGCTCCGTCTGATGTGTTGCAGGAATGCCAAGAAATTCTTCGAGAAAACCAAGAAGGCCCCGCCTGCGAAAAGCAAGCCTCCCCAGCAAGCCGCGCCGAAAGCTGCGCCTAAGTCTACTGTAAAACCTGCGCCGAAGGCGCATCGCAGAAAGGCCTAAAGGTTTCACTTCGTGCTCTCCGCAGGGCAAGCTTTTGGGGTGTGTTAAGAGCCGGGAATCCTCCACACAAAGGAGATAGAACCTGTGCTCGTTGTGTCGGGTGATGCAAGCTGGGAAACGGTGGTTCAGCTCGATCCCTCATATTTGCCCTGTCGGGTCTCTCAGGTTGAGTTTTGATGTGTATGGAGGCTATTATGAGATTGTTAGGGTCAACCAGCATAAGAGCTCGCTCCGGTTTATATTGGGATTCCAGGGTTTGTTTGATGACTCTATAGGTCTATAGGTTAAGCTGTGAAGTATACATTATACCCCCTAGCCCCTTTACGCCCGAAAAAAGCCAAAAGCAAGCTAAGTAGAAACCACAGGAACCCTGAACAACCCTGTAGCAAAGGTAACCTTATATAGGTCGAAGCCAATAGAAACCCAAAACCCAGGGATCGAGGACTTAAGCCTTCGAAGTTTCAGCTGGCAGCTGGAACCGCTATGGACCATGCTTGTGTTTTGCAACTCTTTAATGATCGAGCGTGTGGCGATGTGCCACATGCTGCAAAAAGTTCCTGTGTGTCCGAAGGGGAAAAGAAACCTGACAGATTGCTTCGCAAGTGCGTCTTTACAAATGTCTGCACTGAAGATCAGCGATGATAGTGAAACTTCAAGCCCAAATTGCCATATACCCCAACCCATGCCAGGCAACCAGCCTGGCAAAGCCGTCCGCGGGTTTGCTGCAGATCTGGGAGCCGGGGTTCCCGCCTGAGAAGCCGCGTCAATGAGGCTTGCCCAAAGTGCCGTGATCCTGTTGTTTGCTTGGGACATCCATTCGAACCTTTGGCTCAAGGGAACTTTTGTGGCTCTAGGGGTGGCTGCATCATGGTTTTCACTGAACGAGATGCCGAAGAAGAGCTGCAAGAGCTGCTAACGTGTCACAGACCCGAAGCTATTCCTGCAAACCAGTTTTTGCGACTCTAGGCAATCAAGTTCATGTCGTTCGGAAGTCGCTCACACCAAGGATTCCAATGGTCCCCATGCATCGAAGATGACAGTAGAGACTGTGTTTGGACAACAGCAACCGGAACCCGAGCCGAATGTCCCCGATGCTAAATGTCAGGCACAGGACTACGTGGAACCGCACAAGGACCGGGCATCACGTGGCCTAGCTGAGGTGTATGCTCGGTGTCGAGCCTTCGATTGCATCCGCTTCGAGCTCCCAGCACGAAGCCACCTGACAGGCTTTGTGCTGCTCCATGCATCATCTACCATTGAACGGTTGTTCGATGACCATGCGCCTATGGTGTTCAAGATTGGCTTCACACACAATCCTGCTTTTCGGTGGGCAAATTCCCGTTATGGGTACGCTCACGACCCTTATGATCGATGGGATGCTATGGTGATTTTGTACCTGGCCTCCAACCCACACGGGCCAGCGATGTTGGAGTCCGCCCTTATCGACAAATATGGACGTGCCTTGTCCCAGTCCCTGTTAACATGAAGTGTAGATGCGACTGCGGAACCTCTATAAATACCAAACTTCGTTTCGTCTGTCGTGATCTAAGGTAGGCCTGGTTGTCGAAACATCAACCGTGGCGGCGATGGCGTCAAGGACACCTCAGCTGACTCAGCTAGCCAGTACATGACTTACATCGTGTACAGGTCGTTCAAGCATCCTCCTAAAGAGGCTGGCTCTTTCAAGCGCTCTCCAAAGTGATGCAGCATCAGCAGTGAACTGTATATACGTCGTTCGCAAGATACCATGCAGGGGTGTGCTAGCAAAAACAGAAGGCACCGATTCCGTTTGCAAGTGCAGTGTGGCAGCAGCGATCATACATGCATGAGCATTGCCGAGCAATCAGAAGCATCACCCGCTTGTATTCACAGTTTTATATTCTCTCTGTGCCCAGGTTCCGGCCAAGGCCGTGGTGCGGACGGCCCGCAATGTTCTTTCGGACATAGGCCCTCAGGCTGCTGCATCGTCCAAAGGATTGAAGCGTTTGGCAGAGTGCAGTCTTTCGAATGCCGAGCGTGATGCCCAAACACTGTTATCGAAAAAGATGAAACTCTCCCTGCCCATTCCGTTGGAAACCTTGGGTCAGGGCAAGCTGAACTTTCCAGTGTTGCGTCTTCGCAGCTGGGCACAGTTCCTCCTGGACAGAAATCTTTGGCACATTTTGTGTGGACTTCTATCTCCGGACACAGACAGAGAAAAGGCCATTCTTCGTGGCTTCTGGGCTGAGTTCCAGCGCCACTCCCCGCAGCACCCAGTGTTTGAGCTAGGTTTGCCTTTGGAGGACACCGTTCCGATGGTATTTCATGGTGATGAAGGCCGGGGACGGAGAAGACAAGGATGGCTAGCCACCAACTACCACTCCATTATTGGGCGTGGCATCCAAGCAGCTCTGGATAAAGATGCTCGGGAGAAGAAGCGTGGTCGATATGTCAAATTGAGATGCAACTATATTGGCCATTCACTGACGAATCGTTTTGGCCACGCCGGCTTACCCAAGGCAGTATACTCTGACCCAGAAATCTTCAAGGCTGTTCTCGAAGACGCTGCTTCAGAAGCATTGTTCATGACCGAGCACGGCGTTTTCAATCCACGTATGGGAACACGCTACATGATCATCCTGAATGTTGTTGGCGATTGGAGCTGGCTTCACAAAGCTGGAGGCCTTTCCAGGACTTACCACAACATGGAAAAAGCTGGTGCAAAGGCGAAAGCAAAACCGAAGGCAGCAGCGAAGGCGAAGAAAAGCAAACCACCCAAAGAACCCGTGGGCATCTGTCACTTGTGCCGTGCAGGCCAGAAGGATGTTCCGTTTGAGGATATCTATAGCCGGCAGCCGCTTTGGTTGAGGACAATGTTTCAGCAGCAGCCCTGGATTGCCCCCCCAAGCTTTGCGCGATTGCACCACCCTGTGGGCGAGGAGGCCTCGATCTTCGCGTTCGATATTTTTCACGCCTTTCATTTGGGCGTGGGTAAGACTCACGTTTCTTCATGCCTCGCAATGTTGTCTGATGTAACAGCCGGTTCGAATATTGACCTTCGCTTCGAGGCCCTGAACGCTGAATGGAAATCGTTCAAAACAGGTTTGTTTCAGCCGAAACTGACACCGGAGTTCATAGGCTGGGAGTCTCGTTCTGATTTCCCTTCTGGAAGCTGGCACAAGGGGCAGCTGACAACAGACTTGATGCGCTTTCTGGAACACAAGTTCGAACAAACAGATCTTTCAGGTGACATC